AATTTTAAAGCTAGTCTGAGAAGTCAGAAAAAAGGGGGAGGAGAGCTGATATCACACACTGCAGAGTCAGCGAGGAGAGCTCTGACAGCTGACTGGAGGGAAGAGACACCCCCCCCAGAAACAGAGCAGAGGCTGTCAGTCTGCTGGAGGTCCCTCTCCTGTTGCCATTTTTCTCTTGGTGTCAGGAAAACTTGTCAAAAGGTGACTCACACTAATAGCAGGAGGAATGAATCAGCAGACAGAAATAACACTTCATGCTCTTAACTGAGACAAGTACAAGCTATAGAAGGATATGCTTTATTCATATTTCATGTCTGAAGGTTTACAACCACTTTCGTTATATACTTTAAAAGCATATGTCTAGGCAAAATAAAACAAAAACATATGCAGTGCATCTTTGCAATACATTCCTATTTCACGCGTTTTTTTCAAATATAGAAAAACACCTGTTGAACCTGCCAAAAACCCAGTGAGCGCTAAATTTTATGCAGTAAGCCGACAACACTGCCTCTCCCGCAAAGAACTTCCTAGCAGTATTCCCAGCCCAGCTCTCCCCCTATGAACTACAGATGGAAGCTGTTCTGATTAGGTGCTGTCCCTCCAAGGCCATGCAGATCAATAGCTTCTTACAAAACACTTTAGAGGTCCATCGCTTAAGACAAGTATCCTTCATATATGAATCAACAGTGAAGGTGAGAAATAAGGCCAAAGTCTTCCAGGAAGCCATTACGGCTGAAAATTTAACCCCACAGCCATCCGTTCCACGTGTTCAACAGGCAGAGGTTCAACGGCTGAGGTTAGATTCAGTCAGTCATAGTATGACAAAATGATATCGCAGCCAAAATCAAGTGCAAAACAGAACCAGACAGTGGAAACAGGGTTCTGGAAAGGCCTTCAAGTCATGCATCTGTTGGACCCTTAAAAGCAGTTGCATCTTTCACCTAGCTGGATCCACAGAGGGAATGGAACACTTTTGGACATGATGCTCACCAAACTAATAGAAAGCCAGTAAGAGCTTCCAATCTTTGTACAAAAAAAAAAAAAAAGCCACCTATAAAACAAGTGGATGCAAAGGGAATTTTTTGTGCAGCCTTAGGGGCCCTATGAGACCTGCTGGAAACACTAGTAAAAGCAACAGGATGAACCTCTGGCTTTAAAGGTGGTGTACACGCCATCGATAAGAGATAATGTGGTCTCCTTTAACTTGGGAGTAAATGTAGAAGACCTACTCAAGGAAAACACACCTGACAAGGATTTGGATGATGGTTCAGTAGATGCTAAGGCCACAAGTAACATCAGATACAGAATCTGAACAGGGTACAAGAATGTGCTTCTGGCCTCTGGTCAAATATTTGGGTAACGCAAGTCAAACTTCTGCATTACCGTAGTAAATACCTCAGCTGCATAAGCCCAGGCTATGCGTAAAGTATAATTAAAAGGCGATTTTTTTTTTATGTTTGGACAGAGTGGATAGCCTGCTGTCAGCTGAAAATGGGTCACAGGGGTGACAAACTGCAAGCTTGTGAACCACAGCCAAAAAAGCCTTGGCTGTACTTCTCCATTAAGACTTCTTGTGTCCCTCAATGGACAAGAAATACATTTTGATTATACGCAATCACATTACAATTGAAAGTCAATAGCACTCCCCCCCCACCCCACACAAAAAAAGCGAAAACAAAACAAAAAAAAAAAAAAAAAAAATCGGAAGACAGGATTGTGAAATGGTGGAAAAGAGTCGCTCAGCATAGAGAAGAAATGATCCAGTTTATAGATAAATAAGCCTCTTACAGGCTGTAGCCAAAGGCATGGTTCATTTTCTGCACCTGTTTATTTACAGACTGCCTCTCCTATTGGGAGACGTACGTTCTCTCTTGTACTAGTCAAACTAAATATGTATCTTTCCCCAAGGATCTGTTTACCTGAAGCATGGCTGACTTATCAATCTCGAAAATCTATTTAAAAAGGGAACGTATAAGGGTTTGTGACCCATTTAGGGAAATTTATAGTAGCTATGCACACTTTATGGTCAGAAATTAATCAGGATAATAATAATAATCAATAATAATAATAATAATAATAATAATAGGAAAATATAACCTATTGCATAGTGTGTACTTTTTTTTTAGCAGCAAGTGCAGCTTTAGGTCTCATTCTTACAGGTGTACAGCATAATCCCGTGTCAGAGCTGCTGTAGATCAAACAGAGGCCAAGATGGCAGCTTTCTAGGCTGCAAAGGGTTGGAAGGTTTCATTCCGCTTTAACATTCTTGCATACGCCCAATTGCCAGTGATATTTTTTTTAAATAACTGTTCCCCAAGGAAGATTTTAACTGTCAGATTCTGAGAATTTGTGTTGCCAACAGCAGGCAATTTGATTCCAATTTTCACATCCTATTGTTCAGTTACATTCTGAACATTTGAATCTAACTGGCAACTGAGACGGCTGACAGAGGAAGCTTCATGTAAAGATGAAACTGATCAGAGTTGCATCAGCCCACACTTATCACACTTCCTCTGCATGAATTTCTCAGCACTGAGCTGGATTGTAACAGCAAACAACTTGCCTGTCCTACTGCTCTAGGTTAATGGTAACTGACATTACAAAACAAAAAAAAAAAAAAAAAAAACAGCACGCCCACACAGTGAGGTTTTAACTAAGCATGGCTAAGGCCATAGCTGAAATGCAAAATACATTAACCCACAGCTACCAGATCTACAACAAACTTCCTTGCTATGGTGATATAGGCAAATCTAGGGTCATTGAGGGCAACCCCACGGTACAGGAGACGGCCAGGGACTGCGGACGCGGTACAGGAGACGGCCAGGGACTGCGGACGCGGTACAGGAGACGGCCAGGGACTGCGGACGCGGTACAGGAGACGGCCAGGGACTGCGGACGCGGTACAGGAGACGGCCAGGGACTGCGGACGCGGTACAGGAGACGGCCAGGGACTGCATACGTAGTACAGGAGATAAGAGACTACAGACCTTTGGGGAGCGGGTACCCGAATTTGACAGGTACCCACTCCCACTTCCAATGCGATCTCCTAGGCCGGGTGTCGGCAACCCGCGGCTCCGGAGCCGCATGCGGCTCTTTTTCACCTTTCCTGCGGCTCCGGAGCACACTGCCCACCAGGTGACAGGCAATAGGGTCGGCAAACCGCGGCTCTTTTAATGTAGATCTTCTGTGTGCCGGGCGCCCGCTGGCAAACATTGGCTGTCAGGATGTAGGCGGGGCAGCCCGGATGTAGGCGGGGCAGCGTGACGAACTCCTCTCCTCTCACAGTCCGCCCTGAAGACCAGAACGGCGCGGGAACCCAGCGAGAGGAACGCGCGGAGCAAAGGTAAGTGAATTCACACAATATGGGGAATGAATTACTATGGGGGATGAATTACTATAGGGGGGATGAATTACTATATGAGGGATGAATTACTATATGGGGGATGAATTACTATATGGGGGATGAATTACTATGGGGGATGAATTACTATGGGGGATGAATTACTATATGGGGGATGAATTACTATATGGGGGATGTATTTTCAGTTTTAAAAATGTTTCTCTCAAAATAAATTTCAATCGTGGTTTTGGCAAGATTTGGCTCAGTCGAAAAAAAAAGGTTGCCCACCACTGACCTAAGGCTATGATTGTGATTACGACTATACACTGTGGCCCTGATTAACCCTTTGCTTACTGGGCCCTTAAACCCCCTTCATGACCAGAGCGTTTTTTGCAATATATGCAGTGTCGGATTTGTTTTAAATGTTGCAATGGTTTTGCGGCTCCCAGTCTTTTTTTCCCTCTCGGAAATGGGTCCAAGTGGCTCTTTATGTCTTAAAGGTTGCAGACCCCTGTCCTAGGCGATCAAAAGCGAAAGTTGTCCTCTCCCTCCCCGTAGTCTTCTGGGACACGTGACAGGTCCCAGAAGACTACGGGGCCCATTCACAAAGCGCAGTTCTTCTCGCACATGTTCAGTGGGTACTCGGCTTTGAAGCCACAAGCTGCCACAGCCAGGTGCCCACACTAAAGATGCCGCACCAGGGAGAGAAGACGGTCAGTGAAAGCAGCGGTGGGGAGGACACCACTGGACCGAGGAACAGGTAAGTGGCTGTATTTTAAAAGTCAGCAGCTGTAGTTTTTGTAGCCGATTTTTTTTCCAGCTGGAACTCCGCTTTAAGGGGCAGTTGCTTTGGTCCCTGGCTGGCACTGCCACAGAAGAGCCGAGCGGCCATCCTGGTATTCTAACACCGCAGCAGTGATGGGGAAGGGGTGGGGTGTGGGGGGGTTGGGAATAAAGGGCCAGCCGCTCCATAAAACGCAAAGACATTTCCCCCCATTTTTGGAGGGGGGGGGGGGAAGCGTCTTATGGAGCACAAAATACAGTAATCTTATGGATGTGCAATACTGTTTTAGCCCTGTTTCACACCGGTGCGAATCTGTTGCGATTCAGATGTTCTCCATAAGGCATTGATTCTCATGTCAAGTGAAATAACATTGTTTTCTATGAAGGTAGTTCACATCTATACATTGCGATTTTGATGCAGTTAAAAAAAAAAAAAAAAAAAAAAAAAAAAAAAAAAAAAAGGGTCCTGTGCTTGTTTAGTGCGGTGCGATTTTATGCTCCATAGACTAATAAAATCATATCACAATCGCAGCTGTCAAAGCAAAAATTGCACCATAAATCTGAACTCCAAACCGTGTGAAAATCCCACCACATACAGTCAGAAGCTAGGCTTACAACCATATTTAAGCTTCATTTTCTCATTTGTCATGCAGTCAGGTTATTATAGTGTGGCCCCCCCAAATGGAGAGATTCTGCTCATTTCCCATCTTGGTGACACAACAGCCAGTACCTACGGGTACAGAAATCGCAATAAAACGCAAACTGGTGGTTCAAATCCTTCCTTACCAGAACTAAAGCCAAAAACATTTGGCTGAAGTAGTGCTTTAAATTGAACGCAGTTACCATGACCAGAGTACATAATTTCCTTACCACATACCTTATAACCGGGCGATTTTATTCCAGGTGGAACTGCGTCCTAAGTAAAAAAAAAAAAAATTACAAATCTGCACAATAATTGGGTAAACTGAAATGAAGACATTATCATATATATAACCCAAACAAAGTGACCAAACAATTATAGTGTTCTACAATATACAAAATAAATGTCCAAATTGTGTGAATATTCATTGAAGCATTAATCCATCTTCCAAACACCATTAACGTGACTCAAGACACACCAGGAGTATTTATTTATTACAGGCACTTATATAGCGCCATCAATTTATGCAGCGGGTAATACACATGCACATATTGTAACTCTCCTAACACCAGGGATGTTGCGAATCTCCTCCCCCAGGTGGGCAAAATCCACGCGTTTTGTCTCCTATCTTTGCAGGGATGACAGTATGGGCTAGACTGCTTTTGATTGGTCAGTCGTGACACAGAGGACACCGCAGGCTTATGTTCCAGAACCCACACTCACCCGCCCCTTCACAAAAAGATCTCCACCACAGAATAAATGGAGAGGAGGATGAAGCCTCCTGTGCTAATCGCCATATCTGTGCTGTGACAGCATGGTGTCGGTGCAGGAAGGTTTCCCACATTATTCCGGTGGGAACTCGGGCTATGACAAGCCTGGGTTCACACAGGAGCAGTGGGGAAACTGCAGGCGTTTTGGACAGAAATCATACCGCAGGGGAGAGAGAGGGAGGGAGAGAGAGGGAGGGAGAGAGAGGGAGGGAGAGAGAGAGGGGGGGAGAGAGAGGGGGGGAGAGAGAGGGGGGGGGAGAGAGAGGGGGGGAGAGAGAGGGGGGGGGAGAGAGGAGGAGGGGGGGAGAGAGAGGGAGGGGGGAAGAGGGGGAGGGGGGAAGAGGGGGAGGGGGGGGCAAGAGGGGGAGGGGGGGGGGGAGAGAGAGGGGGGGGGGAGAGGGGGGAGTGGTCGAGAGAGAGGGAGAGGGGGGGGGGAGAGAGAGAGGGAGAGGGGGGGGGGGGGTGAGAGGGAGAGAGGGGGGGGGGGGGAGAGAGTGAGGATATAGATAATTTTATATATTTTTTATTGTTGCTGTATATTGTGGATATGCCAAGGATGTATTCATGCAAACATGTAAAGTTACTTAAAAAGGTTCACTATAAATATCTTTTACATGAAGGTTAGCTGCAGTTTAGGTCACCTGGTCCTCCTGCCTTCACACTCCAGCTGTTGCTTAACAACTATTCTCAGGGGAGCTTTCATACTGCAGCATCTGGAGCGGAGAAAGTTCACCTTCCCTGCGCGAATAAGGAAAACACTCAGGTACGGGTGTCACTTACTCCCTGAAAGCTGATATGGAGCATTTATTATTAAAATATTACTGGCTGGCTTCATAGAAAGGAATGAGTTCCATGAACAAGACCAGAAGGTTCAAAGATCTTTCAAGAAAAAGTTCTCAATCTCCATAAAGACTGCATACTGTACAATTTACGACAATGATAACCCCCTAGGCAGAGCGCGTTTGTATGTTCTGATGTTTGTGTTTTTTTTTCTCTGGAGGGACCACGGTGGGAATGTATTCTGGTATCTGGAGAACTGGAGTGCTCACAACAAATGGTAGAGGGTATACTGTATATTAAACAGAAGAGAAGCATGGAATACAGAAACTGAAGAGGGTATAGTCGCAGTATGAATACAGATGATATGAGGCTCTGTATATGGTGTGGCACATTGGGGGCCATTTATCTTCCAGCCCAGTGTAGTAAATGGATCCATGTGTAGTGTGTAAATCACAATATACAGGAGGGGAAAGTTATACAGAAGAGGGTGTATTGCACAACGTACAGGTTACAACATTAGGAAATCATGGTGTTCACAATGGGGTGGTATGAAGTATGGGATATTAAGAAGACCTAAACCAATCACAAACGATTTGTTTTAAGATCTGTGGCTAATGGTCCAGAGAGCTGCGATTAGAAGAGGAGGGGGCCAGAGGTGCAGAGAGCTGCAGGAAGACGTGGGAGTCACAGTTCAGTATGGGGGCTGGAGGGGACAAGAGGGAGCTGAATAGAACCAAAGTGGGCAAGACTTCTGGAGGGGAAGTGGGGGCCAGAGTTCCAGAAGAAGCCAGAGAGGCAGAGGTTGTGGGAAGGGCCAGAATGGGCCAAATATCTGGAAGGGGGGCCAGAGAGTGTCAGAATTCTGGAGCATGCCGGAAGGGGCTAGAGTTCTGGAGAGGGGAGGAGCGTTCTGTGCAGAGAAAGGAAAAAGAAAATTCCAAAGCAAATCATTTGAAAAACCATTGGTGTGGTATTACTTACAGTAGGGCAAGGCTGTACTGCGCAGTCTCTGATCCCACAATGACTATTATCATTCCAGAAGGGACATGGCTTCTTCAAATTTGCCTTGGGGGGAAAGAAATTTTTTTTTTTTTATATACACACACACACAATATATATATATATATATATATATATTTATTATATTATATATACACACATATACATACATACATACATACATATATAGAAATATATACATAAACACACACGGTGAGATATTTTATGACACAAAAGAAGGAACAAATATTTAAGCAACAAAGCACAATCAACTGAGGCTGAGCAACTGCCCTGAGCTAGAAGGCAAATGTGCCTAAAGGATAACAGTTTAACCTTTAGTGCATCAAAATGCAGTGTGGAAAAACTGCATTCCGTGCAAGATTCCCTCACTGTGTGTGCGATCTGGTGTCAGATTCCTAAGGACACGCTAAATGCAGATTTCAAATCCAATGCCTGTGCCAGTACCATGCGATTCAACTGCAGTATGTGGTTAAAAACAGTGCATGCACTACTTGCGGTGTGATCCAGTGCAATGTCAGCCCGTTCAAATACATAGGCTGAAAATCGCAATGGCACTGAATCACACAGGAACGCAGAACGCATTCCTCTGCAATTCCGGTGTGAACCAGCACTTCAAAGTACATGTGCCCTAGAGTGCAATAAATGCCTACGGACTCCTAGACAGAATGCCGCTGTGCTGTCAATCAACAGGCAGGTGGAATCAGGAATTTGTCACAAAGCCTTTACTAAATTCCCCCCAAAGTATCAAGTACCTTGTAATATCGGAAATAGTCTGTTTCCAGCAATTTTTGTAGTTTTGGGAACAGCTTGTCATTATTGAAATGGTCTATGGTTTCCACATCACAGGTACAATCATCCAGGTAGCCTGTGACCTGAGGGAAAAAAAAAAAAAAAAAAAAAAGGACAAGGTGTGAGAATGGCACAAGTGTTACACCATTTACATAGATAGGACACCATTTACAGAACAGTAACCCCATCATGGCCAAACCTTGAGAAATGAACTTGCAGTGTTCAGCAGGAGTGAGAACGCAGGGTCCGGGCAGAGCCGATATAGTGAACGCAGGGTCCGGGCAGAGCCGATATAGTGAACGCAGGGTCCGGGCAGAGCCGATATAGTGAACGCAGGGTCCGGGCAGAGCCGATATAGTGAACGCAGGGTCCGGGCAGAGCCGATATAGTGAACGCAGGGTCCGGGCAGAGCCGATATAGTGAACGCAGGGTCCGGGCAGAGCCGATATAGTGAACGCAGGGTCCGGGCAGAGCCGATATAGTGAACGCAGGGTCCGGGCAGAGCCGATATAGTGAACGCAGGGTCCGGGCAGAGCCGATATAGTGAACGCAGGGTCCGGGCAGAGCCGATATAGTGAACGCAGGGTCCGGGCAGAGCCGATATAGTGAACGCAGGGTCCGGGCAGAGCCGATATAGTGAACGCAGGGTACGGGCAGAGACGATATAGTGAACGCAGGGTTCGGGCAGAGACGATATAGTGAACGCAGGGTCCGGGCAGAGCCGATATAGTGAACGCAGGGTCCGGGCAGAGCCGATATAGTGATCGCAGGGTCCGGGCAGAGCCGATATAGTGAACGCAGGGTCCGGGCAGAGCCGATATAGTGAACGCAGGGTCCGGGCAGAGCCGATATAGTGAACGCAGGGTCCGGGCAGAGCCGATATAGTGAACGCAGGGTTCGGGCAGAGCCGATATAGTGAACGCAGGGTCCGGGCAGAGACGATATAGTGAACGCAGGGTCCGGGCAGAGACGATATAGTGAACGCAGGGTTCGGGCAGAGGCGATATAGTGAACGCAGGGTCCGGGCAGGCAGTAAAAGCAGTGTGGAGGCAGCGTATAAAAGTCGGGTGATTGTGTCACCTTTCCTTCTACGTTAAGTAACATTCACACCTTTATTAACCTACAATTACTTCCTGCTTCCTCTCTCATTTGAAAGCGTTATGGAAATCCTGACCGTAACAAATTCGAGGTTTAGAAAGTATTGATAGGCTGCCAAACAATCCACAAGGCAACACTGAGCATAATTATAATAATTTGCATCTCCCTTGGAGATTATAGGTTGCCTTTTCCAGAGTCTAACACATACTAAAATATCAACTGGGTGCCATAACCCTTTAATTGCCATTACCGCCTCATATGTGGCATTCGATAACCGCTTGTGGACCGCCAGCAGTACATTTCCTGTGGGCAGACATCACAGTTGGGCTGGATTACATGGGTATAGGGTGAGCGCATCCTCCACCCCATCTCTGCTGTGATTTGCTACAGCACAAGTTTGGAAGCAGTTCCCAGCCAATGATTTATGGCCGGGACCCTGCTGATCGGCTGAAGCCAATCACCGCACAGAGCCTTGTGTTTACTAACACCACAGGGCTCTGTACACAGAACAGCGATCTGGCTGTTTCTTTCTTCTCCCTAAGGCTAGGTTCACATCTGTGCGGGTGGCGCCGCTGCGGATCCGCACAAAAATCCGTGCAGCCGCACCACCCGCACAGAAGAATGCGGACCCGTGGGCGGGTACCATTAATTCTAATGGCACGCCGCCCGCACTGGAAAACGGAACCGTACTGGGAACCGAGGTTCCCGTGCGAGCTGCATTTTCAGAAGTGCAGGGACTTCTCTGCGTGTCACGGGGCACAGGAGTCCATTCAAATGAATGGGCTCTGGTGCCCGCACAAAACACGGACCGCAGGAACGCAGATATGTGAACCAGGGCTAAAAGCAGCACATATTAGGCACACAGTTAACCCTTTGATAGCCCCTAGATGTGAAGCTTTTCCCAGCCAGAGTCATTCGTATGATGACAGTGTACAGGATTAGCACCGATCACTATATTAGTGCCACTTCTGATGTCAGTGTCAGTTAGTGTACCTCCCAGCCAGTGTAGCATCATAGCTGCGTAAATTCCAGTAATTATCCCGTAGTTTGTAGATACTAACGTTCACACAAACCAATATACACTTGTTGGGAATTTGTTTTTTTTAACCAAAGACATGTAGCAGAATACATTTCGGCCTACATTTATGAAGAAATTTTATTTTTATATTTATGGGATTTATTTTATATTTATAGGTTTTAGAACAGAAAGTAAAAAATATTTTCATCACCTACAATGCAGCACCAAGAGTTCTGCACTGTACATGGATGGTGAGGACGACCCTCAACTCAGACTGTCAGAGAGAAGAGGAACAAACATCATAGCCTATCTTTTTTGGGTTTTTTTTTAAGATGCAATTACTTTTTTGAAGAAAAAAAAAAGTGCATTTATTATTCTTTTTCACAGGAGTCTACACCCATGATCAGCCACCTTGCTTGTACCTCTATATGGGCTGTCATTTTGAAAGCTGGAAGAAGTGTCAGTGAAAATACAAGCCGTCTGTCAGGGTGGCAGATGGGACTTGTAGTCTCTTCATTCACATATCCCTGTGAATGAATGACATGGCTGTGTGAACAGAGCCCTGCACAGCCGTGCCAATTTTAAAATGTGGCAGAGGGTACAGAGAGAGGATCCCTCACTTCTGTCACTGGGGAATGAAGGGGGCGCACCCATGTCACATTCTAAATACGGGCGTAACATGTTCAAAACGCAAACTGATCCTTTTACCCCTTCCCATTGCCCAGCCTTTTTAAAAGGATCTAAAGGCTGAGATGTGGAGGTTGACATTCCAATCATGTGATCACTGTGATTGGCAACAAGAGCAGTCACATGATCGGAAAGCTCACAATCGCAAGTATACACGGGGAACTTTCCATACACAGTAACTGTGCTGGGAGCATCCAGTGAGCACGATCACAGCACAGTGAACTTATACACGCACTTACGTGACCGCTCAGCATTAAAGCCCAGCACCCCAGCACACATTTACAGTAGCTATCATGTACCCGCTGTACTGTATAACATGCATTGTAATAAGCAGAGTTGCCAAAAAATGCTGCATTTTGTGCATTAAAATGTTACTAAACCCATGGCCTTGCATCCCCTATATCCGCTCTCCCCAGACCCCACATTTCCTATAGCCACTCTCCCCAGACCCCACATTTCCTATAGCCACTCTCCCCAGACCCCACATTTCCTATAGCCACTCTCCCCGGAACCCGCATTCCCCGGACCCCACATCCCCTATACCCGCATTCACTATATCTGCATTCCCTATAGCCGCTCTCCCCGGACCCCGCATTCCCTATAGCCGCTCTCCCCGGACCCCGCATTCCCTATAGCCGCTCTCCCCGGACCCCGCATTCCCTATATCCGCTCTCCCCGGACCCCGCATTCCCTATAGCCGCTCTCCCCGGACCCCGCATTCCCTATAGCCGCTCTCCCCGGACCCCGCATTCCCTATAGCCGCTCTCCCCGGACCCCGCATTCCCTATAGCCGCTCTCCCCGGACCCCGCATTCCCTATAGCCGCTCTCCCCGGACCCCGCATTCCCTATATCCGCTCTCCCCGGACCCCGCATTCCCTATATCCGCTCTCCCCGGACCCCGCATTCACTATATCCGCTTTCCCCCCAGCACCCTGCATTCACTCTATCTGGTCTCCCATAGTACACAGAACATGGAAATGCAATTATTTTAATAAACATAAGCTGCTAAATACCCTTTTCTCATCAGCAGTGTATAGCAGTCTTGTGACTTCTATCAGTGTCCAACCGAGCACTGGATAATCTTATAGGAGGACTTTTCATTCTCCCCCGATTGTCCTATGAGGCTGCAGAACCCCTGACCCTCTGTCCGGAGAGCATGGATTGGCCCTGTGCTGATCACATGCATACTCCCAAGAAATATAAAAAAAAAAAAAAAAAAAAAAAAAAAAAAAAAAAAAAGGGAGCTCTCTAGCAATATACACACCGACATGTGCAGCTTGCCCCAAGGCACTGTACTACCAGCAGATGCATTGGGGAAGAAGAAGAAGGGTGGGATCAGAGAAGACAGGATCAAACAGCCTTTTACACAATGCGGAGGGTTAACCCCTCATGTTCCACAGTGAGCATAACAAGCATGCTTTACTGTATATACAGACTGATTTTACAGTTGTGGGTTCAGTAACACTTTAAGGTGCCCCACTGGCCCAATTTAAATGAACGGGCCGCATTACTGCATAAAATGTGTTTGCAGATTAATTTATTCATCCCAAAGGGAAATTATTAATGTCTGTTAATGTGTGTGCACAATAATGCATGAACCAGTGCAAAGGAGTCAGGAGAAACTAAAATTAAAAAAAAAAAAAAAAAAAAAAAAAAAAAAAAAAAAAAAAAAGGGAGCAGATCACAATAAGGGCCCACTTGCAAATGGCAGTGTGAAAAATATAGGCATAAATGGGCCCTATAGTTTCTCTTTATAAAAACACACTAAGAGGTCTTTTTATAAATGTTTTCACACAACTTTCACATAGAATTCACACATTTATTCTGATAAAAACCACTTCGAAAAAAAAAAAAAAAGTGCGAATCTTCACTGAAAACTCTATAAAACCTGTGCGAAAAGTTATAAATAGACCCCTAAAGTGCAGCAAATAGATGTGAACAGATCATGTAAGCATGGGATTCAGGTTGTAAGAGACCAATGTGATTGTACATAAAAACACCAATAATTAGGCAAAAAAGATTGTATAAATATATATTTGAGGTCTAAAATAAAATACTACTGCTACTAATAATAATTAATAAACAACCACCAGCAACAATACATTAAATATTATTAGTATTCTTGCGATTATTTATACATTTATAAGCTGCTTAAATGGAAAAATCAAGATGGATTCTTAAAAGGAGAACAATATAAACCCACGGAAAATTTAAAAAAAATTAAAAAAAAAAAAAAAAGGGAAGAACAAACTAATAACAACAAAAACCACCAGATAACC